CTATGCAGACTTTGTTATATGACTGTGTTTAGTAGCAGGGATTATATTTTTCTCTGGTGCATTTCATTTCATAATATTTAAATCTTTTAGTTTCAAAGTTATCTTTTTCTGCATTAGAAATAGAGCCTACATTTGTAACAAATCATATATTAATAAAAGTATGTATATTAATAAAAACAAAGGTGAAGTCATTACTTTCAAAGAGAGATTTTGTTTAATAACAAAGCAATTTAATGTTTTCCATATGATATGATTCTCCTAAAATTCTTATCCTTCCAAAGGTACCTGGGTACTGGAATAGTTTTGAAATGAAAAAGAAATTACAATACGTTCTTCTAATGTAAAAATGCTATAGTAACATAAAATGCTGAAGAAATTTATTTTTCTTCATTCAAGCAAAAGAACAAAATGAATTAAACCATAAACCATTAGCTTTGCCTGGTATTTCTTCTTCTAATGTTTTAGAGATAGGAATATAAAATGTGTTGAAGAAGAGGCTGTGGCAAAATACAAGATTTTATTAAAGGCATTTTAAAGTCATTTTAGTGGTTGGTCATTTTGTACAGGCAAACCAATTCAATTTATAATCAAAGTTTATGATAATCAGGAATAGGTTTGAGTAGAAGCTTCTAGGCTAAAGTAGTTTAATTTATTTTAACTATATGGCCACATTTACATCTGCATTATGTAACTCACCTATTGGTTTAGAATGTTTTAGTTCATGTCAGACATAGATGCTATTAAATTAGAGTATTTGCCCACTCATACTATAGTGGTTCACAAGCATCTACTAGACTGGCGTCTGATTTTTCAGCAAGCTGTAAATAAGATGGTTCTCATCAAGAAAGTGAGTAATCAATGTGTCCTCGCTGAGATGAATGCATAATACTATATATATCAGATGAGACATTCATGTAACTTTTAAAATAAGTATAAAATGTATACAAGTGTAAATATTTTTAAAAGAGCCCATATATTTTAGTTTCCAGTCATTTTAATATTTTTATAGTTAATGTCAATTAAAAACTATGACATTTATACCAATTTGTTGTTGTTTTCTTTCTCTCTGTATAATATGTAAATTTGTTCACTTTACTTGAAATATAAGCAAATATATACAAAACTAACTGCAATTACTTTTAAGTCTTGCTGCTTTTTGAATATCATTTAAGTCTAACAAGGGAAGTAGGTCTTTGTTCTTCTCTATGCTGAAAGGAAAAAAAAGAACTCTAAACCTCTATTCACGAGGCAGCCTAGTCATAGCTATGAATGGTGAAAACATTTATGAACCCCTGACAACACATAACACTTCGTGGTTATGAATCATTGGTATTCCTGTTTATCTGTCCTAGTGTCCTTATGTTTCTAGGTCCCTGGTCTGCATTCTCAATGCCATTTCCAACTCAAATTTGTATTTTATTGTGAGTTATAAATAAAGATCAATTGCCCCCTTTCCCCCCAATTAGGGCAAAGGATGTAGTTCCATACTTATCAGGAATATACTAAAACTTTCTTTTAAATGATAGTTTGCAATGGGTCTGATCCAAAAGGAATTGGTCTGTTTGGAAATAACAACAACCAATAAACATGTGAAATAGAAATAATGCTTCCCTCACTACAAGCATCTTTAAGAAGTAGAAACTGCTAATTAAAGTACTAACAATGAATAAGTCTGGTTAGGCTACATTTTATATGTTAAACTGTGTATTCTGAATCTTAGTCCTTTTTTACAGGTTAGTTTTAAGATTTCGCTATTTATTTTCCATCAAGAGAAAGGAAGGAATACTACAGGAAGTTCTAAATCCTTATTTATATATACCAATTGGGTTGTACTGTTGCAATCAGTAGTTTCCTGATTACATCCTGAAAAAATATGCACAAAACTATTAACTTTGCATGTTTGTAATTTAAATCCTGAAATCAATCTAAATCATCAGCCATAGGATCTCTGCTAGTAGGTCAACATTGCTTTGATTGTCACAAGCCACAGGGCCTCTTCAGTGCCATACTTGTATTTTCTCCCACATTCAGCCTTTCTGAGGCAACAAACATTAATGCCATGATATAATGGAAATACAGATATGAAAAGCTTAGAGTTTCAATACACATACCACGTTTCCCCGAAAATACGACATGTCCTGATAATAAGGCCATACCACATTTTTCTGGTGGGCAAAAATATAAGCCCTCCCCCGCAAATAAGCCTCCTGGACAACCCCCCACCTCCGGCCAGGCAGAGCGCCTCTCATTAACCTAGCGGTATCCCGAAGGTGCCAAGCAGCGGGAACCGGGGGGAGGCAAAGGTGATCACATTGCTTGGCCCCTTTGGGATACCGCTAGGTTGATGAGAAGTGCTGTCCCCAGCTGAAGAGGGGGGTTGCCGGGCGGCTGCTCTCTTGCGAGTGGGCTCCCAAAGAGCCGGGCACAGCCTCAGGGGAGAACAGTTGTGTTGAGCTGTTGCAGCAGCGCAGCACAACAGCCATGAAGCAACCATGCTCACAAGCAGCCACTCGGCAAACCCCCTTTCCAGCCAGGCACAGCACCATTCACTGACCTAAGGGTATCGCCAAGCCACGTGAGCGCCCGTTCGCTGCTGCCCGGATCCCGTGGCTTAGCGCCTTCCAAATGCCATTGAATGGCACTCTGCATGACTGGAGAGAGGGATTACGCGAGCGGCTG